GGGGGGGCGCGAACCCTGGCTGTGACGGCGGCTCGTATGGGGGGGGCCCAAAGGCAGGAGGGGGGATGGGAACCCCCTGGGGCTGTCCCACAACTGGGGCGACGCCATCTGTAAGGAAACAGTCAGGAGTCAGCAGCCAGGGCAGGAGGTGGTGGAGATGGTGGGCTTGGCTGAGTGGTCCGGGGGTTAGGCCCAGCAGGGAAAAGGGACATCACATGGGACGGTCCCCCTGCTCCCACCCCACTCCACCCCAGGCCTCATCCTCTGCATCACAAGCAGCCCGAATTCACCACACATTACCCACAGAGCCAGGTTACGAGCAGGGAGCGCTCTCTGCTCTTGTCACTGCCCCTGGGACCTCCTGCCTCCCCAGAGCGTGATATGGTGACAGATGGAGCCGGGCATCGCACCACACTCCACAGTACACTGCACACCACAGAGCAGAGCAGCGAGGAGAGGCGACGGTCAGGGCGCTCCCAGGGAAGCCACACTCACCCTCCTCCTGCCCGCTCAGCAATGTCACCCCAACACCCCGGAGCTGCTGGGACCCCCAGTACCTGCTGCAGGGGGTGGGCCATGCTTCTCTTCTATCAGCGGTGCCGAGGGACCTCCTGGGTAGGGTGGCGGAGGGTCGTTGGACATGGCTCAAGGTGGCTCTGCAAGGACAGAAGCTTTTAGAAGAGCCACCAGCCTTTGGCTGCACACAGGCACCCGCCCGGAGCTGCGCAGTGCTTGGGGAACAAGGTGACAGGTAACGGAGGGGTCCAGGGCTGGTGCCACCACACCACTGGCCTCAGCTCCACCACGGGGAGACACATGGCCGTGGCTCCAAAGCTGGATGGGCTTTGACCCAGGCAGCAAATCCAAGGTGCAACGTCTTTGCGCCGGCTCCGCACGGCTTCCCCAGTAAGGCCCACATGTGGTACACAGCAGCACATCGGTGCGGCTCAGCTGTGTGGCCCGTGTGCTGGGCAGTACGGGGCTGGAAGTCGCTCTGCCAAATGCCTCAGCTGCAGCATTACAGGACCAAAGATGGGGAAGAGCTGCCCACAGCCCCCCATCTCCACCCAGCAGCATGATATGCAACACTGTGTGCCGAGAGGATGGCAGGAGCCCCTGAGCCTGAAGCACAAACTCTGGGGCAGAGGGTGCAAACCTACAGAGAGCAGCTCTAAACACTCTCATCGAGTGAGTTAAGGCAAGACCACCTTTAACTGCTGAAGACATTATTTCACCTGGGATAAAATTTCCTTGTCCTCTTCCTTGCAGCAAGGAGCTCAGAGGCCGTGACAGAGCTGAGAAAAACAATTCTTCTGAGCAGTGTAGGTTGGAAGCCGGCTTACCCCACCGAACCTGTGTGAAAGGAGACAGCAAGTGAGTTACGGAGAGGAGCCACTGCTCCAGCACTGCCTTGGCCACCACTCCAAACCCCCGTCCCTCTGCGGTGCAGGCGTGGGGAGAGTGGCTCTGGGCAGGAACCTCCCCACGTGTGCCCCCTCGATGGCCAGCACAAAAATACGCGTCCTTGGCACATGGAAAAACCCCACCGACACACTCTAAACACCGAGGAAGCGCAATGGCATCAAGAAACCTGATTTCTCTGTTTACTCTGGCTCAGTTATATCTGGTAGGACGTGACTAAATTGGGAAATACAAATGAAAGACCGTTCACTCAGTACTTGGGAAGGCTGCCATCAGGCACGGGACATGGTGACATTGCTGTCAGAGCCCAGAGAGCAGTGCTAGGAGCTCCCCCTGGGGTCTGAGCAGCTATTTGACACCCCCCCCCCCCCTCCTTTTTCCCCCAACAAAAGTAAATGTGGTCCTGCTTGTCCCGTTCCCCTTGGTGTCCTGCTCTCCTGAGGCAGGTCAGCACACTGCGAGGACGGCAATTTCTCAGCCCGTCCCACTCCAGCAGCTCCCAACTGAGCAGGAAAAATGCACCGAGGCTACAACTAGCCTGCAAAAATCCCACAGGCACAACCAGGGCGGCTCTGGACCCCAAGGGATGGCCAAAGCAGGTGCTGCTGCCACATCCCCACCCTCCCAAGCAAAGCTGCCCGGAACCCTGGTGAGGTACAAATCACCCGCTCAGCTCCAGAGAACTCGGGGCCGAGGGGTGCCAGAGCGGGGCTCGGATGGGCAGCACCCTGCTGGGGTCACTGCTTCGGGAGGAGAGGCTCCCTCCGGCCCTGGCACCAATGCCACATGCTGGGCAACCCGCCCAGGGCACACCGACCTCCACGGCACAGCACAAGCCTCCGTGAGCACCGGGCCAGGCAGCGAGCGCTGCCCACCCTGCCTGCATTGCAGGTGTGCCCTGAGAGGTACCTGTGAGGCACGGCCACCGCCATCTGCGGCTGCTGCGTTAAGCGAAGCCAAGGCCTCAGCAAGCATGGGAAGGACGACCCATCCCTCCCCAAGCTGCTTGGCTTCGCTTTATTCCACTCCTGTTATTCCAGCTCAGGCTCCCTGGCTCCAAGCAGCCTCCTGCAAGGTGCCAGGCAATCTAATCAGGTCACAAGTCTGCAGAGGAGTACCACTACCGGTTGCTGATCACCCCCAGAGGAGCAAAGCCTGGACCAGCATAGGGTCTCCCCGGGATGTCTGTAGTTACTAATATTTCTCCCCCAAGGTCTTAAGCGCTATGTTACAGACACACAGCTTCAAAGTGTAATACAAGGCTGGCTGGGGGGCATCTTCCTCCTGCTTTTCTCTCCCATTTCTTCCTTAAGAGCCAGGGGAAGGAGAGCCGGCCCGTGCAGCCGGTATAGCAGAGCTGCTGCAGCACAGAGGGCTTCCAGGCAGAGGAAAGCACCCAAAGTGCAGAGCACTGCAGAGCCCTCCTTCTCCTTCAATGACCTACAAAGCTACAAATTGGGCCACGCTCTTTTTAGCTTCACTGGGGATGTAGAGAAAAGGAGGACTTAATCTTTTGTAGGTAGCCAACCAACCCACCCCATGCATCCTGGAGCCTCAGACCTTCCTGTCCCCGTGCCTGCAGGGCTCCTGGATGAGGCCAGCCCAACCCGAGCATCCCCGAGTCCTTACCTGGGGACCCCAGCCTGCCGGGGAGCTTTCCCTGCCCTCGCAGGCCAGCTGAGCCCAAGGCGTTGGTAATGTAACAGATCTCCTCCCATTACTGCTCAGATGTTGCCTTCCCATAACGGAACATCTTTCAACACACCCCAGTGCTATTCCCCCCATCATCAAAGCAGCTGGCGAGAAAACGCAGGAGACAAGGAGACCAAGAGGCAATCCCCCCGATGTGCTCCACCAGCCACTCTAAAAACACCCATCAGATGAAGTAACAGCCCCAGACTGAGCCAGCAATTAATCCTGCCACCTTGACCAGCAGGAAAACGCAGCCACAAACGCGATGGCCAGTGAATCTCAGAGCCACGCGTGCACTGGGATGAAGGAAGCTGCAGGGGCCGCAGAGCTGTTCTGTTCGTACTTGGCAGACTCAGTCACTCTTAATGCAATATTCTGCTTATTAAGAGAGATCCGTAAAGAGCAAGACGTTGGCTGTGTGCCCTTCCCGGGAGGAAAAGAAAGCCTGTTGCTTTTAAGCCTCTTAGAAGCTCTTTCTCATGTGCTTTCTTTTATCTTAACGTGAGAAGCACAAAACCTACCCCAGTCCGTTTCCTCCAGAGAGCTCCATGGGGAGCTGGAGGGCACAGGGCTTCTCCTCCATGCTGGGTCAGCACTGGATGGGAGCTACCCCAGAACATCACTCACTGCCCTGGCATGGATGACCCTGCAGTATTCCCCGTCAAAAGCAACCACGGCCGAAGCAAAGCAACCCAGATCCTCCCCCTCCCAAGGCAGGGCAGAGGACACGTCGCCCTCGGCACCCCTGCAAAGAGGCAGAGTTTCCCTGAGCAGCACCCACTCAGCGCAGGAAAGTGGGAAGCCCCGAGCATGCCCCCGCCAGGACAGCCCTTCTGGGCTGAAGCAGGTTGATGGTACAGGCACAGGCAGGTGAGCTGGGACGATACAGCCTTTAAACAAAAGCACAACAGTATTTTGCATCCAAATATGATCCCCAGAATCATGTAAAAAGGACTCCTGCTGCTGGTCGTTTCTGGTTTTACCCACTAGCTTTCGGTGATGTTTGCTCCTTCTGTCTTTCAAAAGAGAAACGAGACTTCCCCTGCCCACAGCACGGCCTTGGAGCCTGGTGGCAGCTCAGAGCAGAGCCTTCACGGTGCGCCCGTCCCAGGGAGGACAGCTCTGGCAGGCTGCACCGTGCCCCGGGATCTCCGGCCACCCACGCCAGCACAAGGAGCCATTCTGCCGGCACACGACAAAGCTGCCCCATGTTAACCATGCCGGTTTATTACGGCTGAACCACCAGTGCATTTGTGTCATGAGAACAGCTTAGATCAAACTAGCTGTTCTCAAATGGGAAGAAACATTCCCAAAGACTGCGGAAATTGCATCCACACTCGGGCTTACTGAAATAACCATGCTTGTAGACCAGTGGAAAACCTAGGGGAAAAAAATGAGAGCTTTACAAATAACGTAGGCTAAGTTTACCAGGCTTAACTTCAAGATCTGATGGAATCACCAATGTCTAGTGCAAGTCCTTTGGGAGCAAGGACCCATCGCAGGATCGTAAGACTCAAAAGGAGTTGGTTAGCAGTAAAAGGATAGACAGAGAAGTTGCTATTTCCAGCTAAAAATGCAGATTAGTTCTTAACTGGAAGAACAGCTTTTACTGGATCCTCTACTTTAAACTAACAACAAAAGATGAACCCACCACGCAATTGTTGCAAACACTGTTCCTGTTAAACACAGGAGACAAGCAAAGGGACCCCACAGGCTGGCAGTGTGACAAACCAAGCAGA